AACATCAGCCGTTTTGTGGTGGGATCTGTCTGTTGAGATCAAGCCCAGATGCCCATGCCATGCTGTGCAGAGGCTGGGGCCAAGTTGGCCGCCGTTCCTCAGAGTCAACAAAAGGCAGACACCAAAAAGATGGTGATCCATCAGCAGAGTCTCTTGTGCTCCACCTAGGATCAGCCCAATGGGTGTCCCGTCACTCTGCCTTGGCTGGGGAGCGGTCTGGGTTGACCACGTTTGGCCCCTGCGGTTGGGTGAGGTGGTCTGTGCGACATGTGGGCAAACCAGATGCAAGGGTGCGCTCACCCGTGTGCCACGCTGGGGCTGGTGTCATCCCCCTCGTGAGTGTGGACTGCAGGCATCTGGTACAGCTCACTGCTGCCCTCCTCTTGACTAAAGCACGAAGGCTTCGGCACCTGGGAGAGCAGGAACCATCTTCATGGGCATCCTTGAGGTGCTTCAGCACCAGCCAGGAGCTCTCGTAGGACGCATGGAGCAGCACAGCCTTGGGGACCTCGGCATCCCCACGCTGCAAAGTGTCCGCTCCACCGTTCCCTCTCTTTAGGGACCGCCGATGAGGAAGTGGAGGAAGTTTCATATGAGTTCTTTGGTTTCTGTTAATAATAAATCGGGGAGTACAGAACTGTGAGATAGATAGATACGGGTAGCGATTGCACTTTCTGGCCAAATTTTAAGGAAAACTCCCCATCGCTGCCTGTTGCTTTAAGCCAGCAAAGCTCCAGCTGAAGGCTGTCCTTGGGACAGGCTCTGGGCTCTCAGCAGCGACCAAAGCTTTGTGCCTCTTGGGTTTTGCATTTCCATTCTTGTTAGGTGTAGCCAGGAGACCCCTTTGATTTGTTCTCTGTTTTTTTTTTTCCTCCTCAGGGCTTTCCAAGTGCCACAGGGAAATCCTCCTGGCCAAAGTGTTTTTGTAACTATTTTAGCTTTGTGGCGATTTATTTCTTCTTCTAACTCTCAGCATCTGAATTGGGTGATTTGAGAAAACAGTCCATTAAAAGGAGGACACTGTAGAGTCCTGATGAATCCTGTTTTCTACTTGGCCGGTGGAACAGAAAGCTAATTGCCAGTAGTAAATCCATTCAAAGGAGGGCTGGAGGGAGGGAGAAAAGCTAATATTCCTCCTTGAATGCCATTTAATCTCTGAAACCTTTCATGCAGATGTAAATTAGGATTTGCACAACAGAGTCAACAGTTGCTCCGTAGATAAGGCAGATTTGCAACATCTGCTTTTCCATTCGAGAAGCTGGTCCAAAGTCGCTGTTGGGGATAGCCAAGCTAAACACTAGAGAGTTTTTTTTTTTCTCTCTCCATAATCTCTTGTTTATGAAGAAAGCTGCATATGACAGAGCTAAACCTGGTTATCGTTCTGCTAATTCTCTAGGAAAAAAAGTTTGATTTCCTCCTTACAGAGATCTGAAAAAGCCCCCACTGGGTGGTAATACAGTGCTGCACACTTGTTAACGTCTTTGGAAGACACACTGGCTTGTGACAATTGCATAGGCCGCTGCAGTGGTAATACAGTGTAAGCAGTTTATCTTGCATGATTATCAAGAAAGGTATTTCAAGCTTTTCAGGAGAACTACCTCCCCCCCCAGCAAACATATGCAATAGGTGAAAGATAAAGTGGAACCTTCGAATGAAGACGTGGTCTCCTAAAGGCACATTTCTCAATCACAGTTTAGGCTTTTACAGAAGCAACCAGCTCTTTTTATTTTTGCTGAGGTGTGAGCCCCATTGAGCCGGGGAGATAACCCAGCTGAACACCAGTTCGGGAAATGGTGGTGCTTCGGCAAAGCATCCCACGCTGGAGTCCCTTCTTCCCTGGATGGCTGCAGCCTGACCCTGGGAAACGTGCTCCGAGAGCGGGCTTGACCTCAGAGGGAGAGAAAAAGAGAGAAGACAGGGTATTTTATCTAACACTTTTTATTTTAGTTATAAGATCATATGCAGGCAGAGATGCTCTGCCACTGACACCGTCATAGCTGCTGCTAAACGGAGAGGAAGCTTTGCCTGGCATAAAGCCCTACCAAAACCACGCATGTTAAAAATACCCCAAATACCCCGTCAGCTCCCTGCAGTGTGGGGAGGGTACGCGGTGACTTTAGGTGAGCTCCTCGCTTTGCTGGGGGGGCTGCTCCCTCGATCTTATCTGCCCTGACAAGGCAGCTACGTGGGGAAACGGGTGCTCCCACGATCTTGATCTTATCCCACGATCTTACCGTGCCCACCTCTCCCCGGGGCTGCTGCTGGGCGCAGGGCCTGGGGCTGGGCTGGTTGCATTCAGTGTTCCCCCGTCTGCTGCTCTGGGGAGACGGAGGGAACAGGGACATGGCAGAGGAGGTGGCACAGGGGCCGGCTGTCACCCCCTCCTGGCTGCGTTTTAAATCAAAGCAGGTCCCAAATGAACAGTGTTCGGCCAGAAAAGTGTTTTATTTCCCTTCTGGGCAATGGGATTTGCTCTTCCCGGTGCAGAAGTCGTGAGGTGAGGTGAA